AGGGGCGCCGCCCGCAGTCGCGCGCCGACTGCCTGCTGTGGGCCCTGCTCGGCTTCTTCCTGCTGGTGGAGGGCTTGGTCCTGTCCACCGCCTTCCTGCCCAGCTTCGACGCGGCCGCTCAGCAGCAGGAACAGGAGCAGCGGCCCCAGCACCCGGCCCCGACCGCCGCGGGCCGCCAGGTGCGCAGACACGCACTGCGCCAGCGCAAGCCAGCGCCGTTACGGCCCTTCATAACCGAGGAATAATTCGAGTCGTATCGAATTATTCGCATCGTATCGAATTATTCGCATCGAATCGATTAATAACACAGTGCAACACAAGTGGTCTTTGTGTCTTGCCGTGAGATGAAAGTATGTGTGCTTTACTAAATCCCATACGCTCATTCCGAATATGAAAGTAGAAATGTTCCATCACGTACCATTTTTTCTGGTAAAGATACGCCTTATATGCCACTTTCGAGAGACTTGAAAACGTCTCAAAAACAATAAAAGAGGAATTTGTAGTTGATTAATATACAGAACATACTACAATATTTGTTTTTATTACAAAAATTGTTTATATTATATTTTATGATTAGTTGTTCATATTAAAAAACATACAATGAAAAGTTTGATAAAGCTGTATAAAGCTTGAAATGTACTTTAAATTTGGAAACTTTTCCTGGAAATTTTTCGTTTGTCGGTGGATAGTGAAACTTCTTGTAGGAATGTCTAGCAATAATCTGCCCTTGTACCAACTTTCCATGATATCATATCTTGGTGAAATCGCTCATCATGTTTGTCACATATCCAAGATTAGAAATGAAATCCAAATTTGAATAAAGGAAATCTACTTTCCGAGATATGTTGCACCCCATAGCCTTGTAACAGTCCAACATATGTCCCGTCAATTATTTGTAATTCTCAGACATTACGTTTCCAAAGAAGTCGTCACATATATCTTTTAATGTAAGCGGTGGTGTTTTCTCAGTATGTGTCAGCAACTGTTCAAGGGTTTATTTCTTTCATCCAGTCACGTATCAGAGTCCAAATGTAAATTACTTCTTTAATTTTTGCAGTGGTAATCGCAGGAAATTTAAATAGTAAAAACTGAAAACCCTAGCAAACTGTGTCCATTGCTTTCCCATAATTCTTCATAAATCCCAATTTCCGGTGGAGTGGTGTTAACAGTATACTGTCTTTGTCAAGAAGGGGTTTATGCGACACTTTATTTACGAGGATAGAAACTTTCTGTTAAAAGTCAGTCATTGATTTCATAATGTTCTTTCCTTGCCCTACTATCCTAGTGGCACAAGAAAAAACAATATGTTGTGCAATCAGTCTGCTTTCCTAGAAGAAAATAGGCGTCATACTTCCGGATCGTGAATCATCCCAAATTTTGTAAGCAGACCATTTATTCAAATATTTATAATTGAGAACAATTGGAATGATCAAGCTGTGGTTTACGAGATGTAATACAAGTGTTTGGTTGTAACAGGATATTTTCTTGAATACGAGACCCAAGTAATTCTGCTTATCTCTTTGACGATTTAGATCTCATCCAAGACAGTTTAATTTTGCCTTCGACAATGGTTGTGGCTGTAGCCGTGATGCAGATGGCGTGTAATCAATATCTTCATGACCTCTTGGTTTGCCACCACCATCCGTTTCATCTTTTCAGTGTTCAATCCGTTGATAATTTTGGAACTGGGAGAGAATCAGAGTACGGAAATGGGCACATTGAAAATTTCATATTTGGATAAGAAACTGTGGGTTTTTACTTGAGATTCCTCTTACTTTCGTGGAACATATTTAGCAATCTGTAATGTGGTGTCTAGATTCCCTCCACAACTGTGGCACTGCAAATGGCATAGATGCCTTAAGTAACCTCTTAAGTAGCGGGTGCAACGTGAGCAACAGTTACCCTCATTTACCTTCGATTCAAAATAAACTAGTCCCCCTTTTTGACGACCGGAGAAAAGGGGTGACTTTGAAACTTAGTTGTATACTTGCCACGCACATATAACAGAAAAGATATGGTGAATTAACACACATTCTAGACATCCCTAAGTATAAGAAACGGGCCAAAACCCACAAACTATAGGCTCCACGTACGCGGATTCACACAATTCAAGAACACATACTGCGTGATCTCACTATCGATTGACTGATGCTACTGCAACTTTCCTTTACGTACCCGAACAGACTGTATTTCCTTTCTCTACTCCCTTAGCTACGCAACAATAATTCCTACAATAAAAAAAAAAACTTGATGAGCGTTACGTCAACATAACGCAGCCGAGAGCAGATAAAATGGCGTTTGCAGAAGAAAGTAGCGACTAATGGTTTCCACCACAGCCATCTTTTTTTGTTCCGCGGCAAATTTCATTGGCCCTCTGTGTTATTGGACCCATAGCCGATTCTTAATCGATTCTTTTTTTGTTTTCGGGTGCATCTTTTGCTATGATCACTAGTTTTGTTAGTTTAGTGCATGTTATATTCCGGGAGGTGGGTATTTTCTTGCCCGCTAGAAAGTTGAGTTCCGTCACCTGTCGGGTCGTTTTGCGGGGGTATTATTTAACTGGCTGTCCGGGTTACGCCGTTTCCTATGACGATATCACGTAATTATGTTTGATTAGTCTGTCATTTCTCGCTATTAATTATTTTAAATGACACCTGACATTTCTAACAGTGAATCATTTTAAATTCTCTCTTATTTCTCACCATAAATCATGTGCAGCCAACTAGCTTTGCGCGGTGGAACCCCAAATTCGATTCCCTATCACGGCAATAAATGAGTTGTAGCTTGCTTTTAAAATCGTCGCACTTTCTGTATCATTATCGTATTAGATTTACTTACACATTAGATTATGAATTATTACATTACACTAGCTCATTGTGGTGCTCATTATGCCAAATGGATTGGGGAATATCAATTTTGAAGAAAATCGGCTGAATAGTGCAGCCACCTATGAAGTCGACGGCTTCCGCGGCCAGTCATGTGCAGGATCTTGGCTGTCCTCGACGCGGCGTCACAGTTTAGCCACAGACGGACAGACGGACAGACCGACAGACCTACAGACCTACAGACCGACAGACCGACAGACCGACAGACCGACAGACCGACTGACCGACAGACCGACAGACCGACCGACATACGTTTTGCCGCCGTTTGCATTTTCGGTATCAAAGACACACAAAATATAAATTGTGGCTACAGAGAGTGTGTTAGAGAATGTTTCAACTGGATGTATTAATTTTTCGTTACCACTGCCCCTTTAATAAGGGTTTTTCTGCCAAAAATTCGCCGTTTTTTTGCGCAGCATTATATAATTTTCTCTCCAGTTCATAGTGAGAAAGTAAAATAATTTCGAGGAGATTGTCGTGGTTAATCTCTAAAGCATTACATAGATATTATTAATTCCAAGTTAGAATCTAATATTTTTACTAACATGTAAGACAATGTGTATTCAAAATTAAAATAGAATAAATAAAATTCATAGATTGTATATGTGTTTTTGCTTTTACAATTTTATTGGTGTAGGTATTTATGTTTAAATTTATTTTCTCTCGTCCACCTTTCGGTTTTTACTAGCTTTTATTGTTATATATTCAAAATAGTAACGTCTGTAAAGTTATTCCCCTTCCTTTCGATCCAGACTTGCGTCTCTCCCCGTACAGTGAGAATGATTTCTCTTATAATGGGAACTTTTCCCGCTATAGGTTACAAACTATAATTTGTTTAAAACATCTAAAGAAACGTTTTATATGATTTTATAATTTGTGGTTAAATGTGTTTTGGTAAATTTTCTCCCATATATTTTATATTTTCTACTTATTACTTCAGTTTTTCACTTAAATTCGAACTTTTATGTCGTTTATTATCTGTTTTTGTTACTTACTTTAAAATTTGTATTCAATATCATCAAAGACGTTTGTCATTTTTACTTCCAGAAGAAAACATATTCAACACTTAATTTATGTACACAACTGATGATGCGTGAAACACGAGAATCGCCGCATTTTGAAATAAAGCGTTTTTTATAAATTATATTTGATTGTCGAAAATATAAGGATAACTGTGTTTTTATTGTTAATGTGATTAAAATATTGAATTCAAATAACAAAAATGTGGGCGAGGCCTGTGGGAGAGACCCAAATACCCTCGAATTTGACGAGCATCGTCTTTTATTTATTTTCTTTCTTAATGTATTTATTTACGTCAAAAAACAGTTACAAACTGTGTGTTGTGCTATGGGGGAAGTTAATTTGACGTTACAGCCTTATTGCTTGGATCTTTAACAGTGGCATACCAACGCAATTCCACTACTCGGCGACAACCAATGGGAAGGGCTGACGGTGGACTCTAGAATAATTTGCAATGTAAAGAAGGATAATAACACGGTGCGCCAAGATAGTTCCTCGGCGCTGAGCTGAGTCAGAGCGTCCTATTAAGAACTGCATTTATGTTGGTATCAATCATTTCACTGGGAAACAAGTGAAAGGAACCACACATCCAGAATCTGTAATGAGTGTGGTGAGGGTGCGATTTAAGTTTACTTCTGTTACAAGCTGAAGATCGTCCTACCAAGATAATTTCTTGAGCTAAACACTCTCACCAGTAAAGCGCCATGCGGAGAGTCTTTCCTGTCGCGTTATGTCTCATCTCCAATACAAAAGTGACGCAAGTGCGAAATCGTCATTTTTCAGCTACAATGTGACAAGAGGTACTGCTACTATTCTGCAGTTGATTTTGAATTAGTTCAATTACTGTACGCTAGAAGGTGAATATTTGGTACAATCTACAACGAGTATTACAGAACTACGAAACTTAAAATTGCAATTTCTGAGAAATCAGAAATTCGCACTTGTGTAACTTTTCAATTGGAGGTGCGATATATAATTAAGAAATAATGATATATGTATTTAGCAATGCATTACAATAATTTTTTGCAAATTTGTGTTAAAATATTTTGATTTTTTGATGTATGGCATGGGCATATACGTTTTGAACATTTGACACTGATGACCACGCTCTTGTCAGAAGTTTCACAACGATGTTCCGATTGCACAACTGTTATCTACATCGCCAGATACTAAAATATGATTGCAGCACCTTATGGGCATGCCTTGGCTGTAAACAAACGTTGGCATATCCGTAAAGCGTTTACGCAAGAAGCTAGTTTCCATTTTTTTGTAGTCTTCCGATAAACATTCGGAGACACAAATACCACTAAATGTCCAAAAAAAAGAGGTTCTAATAATAGCCTTAAGCGATGAATCACTCACCCGTTACCTCAACAAAGACAGAAAAACGACGACCCGTTCCTTCGTCGACCTCGTGAAATTGGTTCGCGGCTGTTAATGGCTGAGGTAGTTTTCACTGGCTTCCCTGCGCAGGTCAACCGCGCGGCCTTGGGCAGGACGGAGGATGGCACAGCTGCTAACTTCACTTCCCGACAGCCTCGCACCGTCGGGGGCACCGCACCACCTCCAGGTTCTCCATTTCTCCTGTATTAAATCTGCATAACTAACTTTAATTTAACAATAATACTTAATGGATATTTAGTATGTAATGAATGATATTTGGACTATAATTCTAAACAACGTTTAACACGTACTGTACAGCAGCTTCGGAGTCAATGACCCCCATCTCGATCCCAATTTTCATCCAGCTTCCCTGATCCTTTGAGCAGATGCTGAGATTGCCCCATGTTTTGCTTCTGAACATTAATGTAATTTTTATTACCTGTGCACGTCTTCTGAACTTCAGTGGGTGTTATAGTTATTCAAATTATCGTTCTCCATATTCTCGCGGCAGGAAATATTATTCTTTCGCATAGCACATAAAAAATTTATAGCTTATTTAGCCTTGAAAATATTAATTAATTAATTGTTCAGGGATTCCGGGCACGTGTACAACCAGTCATGAGTCCCGTAAACGTAGTGCATGGTTTTGCTCGGAAGGTGACATACATAGACGAAAGGCGAATATGTTGCAAATTTTCACATTTGAATACGGTTTATCAGGAATTCCCGTATCCATGCAACAACGCGATGATCAACTCCCGTAGGTGCAATTTTCGTAAATAATATATCGCGCGAAACAAGATCGAATAAAAAATCTATAGCAATTGCGTCTGTTCTCTTTCCCGAATCTAAAGTTTCAGCAATATCTTGACAAGTTGTGATAATTTGGCTTTCACAAGAGAAGTATTTTCGAAATCCATGTTGCCCTTCGTATAACCACCCTAATTTGTCCCATTCCCGACGCAAGAACTTAGCTTGCGTTTGTTTGCGAATCACTGACGTTAGGCTTACTGGTCTGTAATTGGAAATGCAAGCACGACTTCCGGTTTTAAATATTGTAACCACTAAGGCCCTTTTCCAATCGTGCGGCACGCTACAATTATTTATGCTTATTTCAAATAATCGCGTCAACTATGTAATCATCGGTTCCTCCCCAATGTTTAATAGTTCTCCGGCGATACCATCAAACCCTACGGATTTATTAGTTTCTACATTGCCGTCTCCTTCTGCCCCGCCATCTCGCCCACCTCCGCCGTCTCGTCCCCCTCCACCGTCTCGTCCCTCACCGCCATCTCGTCCCACGTCACCGTCCCGTCCAGCGTCGCAGTCTGGTCCCGCGTCGCCATTCCCCGAGTCACCATTTCGCCCCTTACCGCCGTCGACTCGTCCCTCACCGCCGCTTCATCCCGTCCCGCCGTCTTGTCCTGCGTCGCCATCTCGTTCCTCGCCACCGTGTACCCTCGCGCCATGTTCGTCACCGCTTTCCTTCCTCAAACAGTACACGGCATGGAGTCGCAGACACGCGAATAGAGCTGTCCTAAACTGTCGGCTCCTCTTTGATTTAAGTGAAGCCCGTCTTGACTAAAGTCGGAATCTTGCACTCAGGGGATGGTATCAACAGGGCCGGATTTAAGTAGTGCGAGGCCCCAAGCACAAAATTGTGTTGCCCCCCCCTAAAAAATAGCTCCATCTTCATTAAATTAAAAAAAATGTATTATAATACAAGTACTTTCTGTACAGATCCAAATGAAAACTGATAATTTTTTATAGAAAATTTTTACTTGTGTTACATTTTTTACATTAAATATACTGTATGACCGTTCTCCAGTACAGTTTGATATCATGAAGCACAAGTACATTCGTAACGTCGTTTCCACGTTCCCGGCCTCCTCTTTTGTCCTGAGGGCCCCTGAGCTGTTAATTTGAGCATGAAAAATTTTGAGGTTTGCATAAAAAATTTACATATTCAGTTATAAGTAAAGGAAATAAAGTATAGTTAATATTAGACTAATTTAGCATGTAATAAATATTTTTTAAAAATTGTTTTGAAATTGTACAATTTGTTACACAGTAGACTACTTGATTAACAATTATTTCACAGACAAAAAAAACATGATATGCGTATTTTTCCGAAACGCGGGGCCCCTGGTGAATGGGGGCCCCCAAGCAACTGCTTGTTTTACTTGTAGGTAAATCCGGCACTGGGTATCAACGAAATTGATCTTGTGCTTCGAAAACCCACTCATTAATTCATTCATGTGGCCGATGCGCCTCCAGGACATGTCTCTGCGTCGTAAAACACCATTTACTGCGATAGAAGCGCGTGGAAACTTTATCTTGGTAGCAAATCCTATCTCAGCTAACGACAAGTGGACTCTTAAACAATCACTATTAATTCAGGAGCACATAATAAATTGATCACTATCCTATAAAGGGTCGATACTCGACTAGAAAGTTGCAGAAGGGAAACGGGTTGTGCGAATGCAACCCGCAAATCACGTAACGCTGGAACTTATCACCATGGAACTATCGTACAGATCTCGGAAAGGATGCGCCATAGACGCTTTAAACCAAGATCGTGACCTGAGGGAAAACGAATTACGTTCATGTCATGAAATACAAAATATATTCTTCTGTACGTTTCATCTCTTTTTGGAAGTACTCCCACTCCGTAGAAACATTGGAAGTTGAGTTTTAAAATTAATCTATTTTCGCTAATTTATTCTATCTTTGATATAACCAACGATTTACAACCTGCAGAATGTTTGCATGGTTCCAAATAGGTTAATTCATTTTATTTATTTATTTATTTTTATTGATGTATCTTCGTAAGAACTACAGACACGTAAAAACAAAGGTTTTATTGAGAATTTCAATGCAATATTTGCATATATACCGGTGTACCAAAGCCTTGATCACTGTAAGATCGGCCGAGAGAAAAAAAAAAACAAATCCAATTTCCAAAGACCTTAAGCGCTCACTCACGGACAATTCGTTTTGTTTTGTTTCTCTCTGCTCTTTGTACTGTCCTCAACTGCTGGCTACCCCCATTATATGATTTACCCCCTTAATATCCCCCGTACATTAGGCGCCGCTACCCGTCGATACTCGTTTCCTGGCACGGCACTGCTGGAGCGTGTCGCGGGTCGCTGTTAATTCCTGCTGTCCACGGCGCGCGCGGGGACTTTTAAAAGTTCGCCGTACACAATTCATGTCATCTATTTACCCATTAACCACCTCTTCTGGGCCAATGACCTTCATCTTGATCACGTTTTTCACTCAGTTTCCCTATTCCATGGAGTGATGGCTCCGTCCTGCTTCTGGACCTAAATGCAACTTCAAATTATGGTTTTCCATGATCTCACAGCAGGAAGTCACATGCTTCTCGCAGAGCATGCCGAGGAATAACATCACAAATCTATAGCTGATTTGCATTTGAAAACGGTTTTTATTACACCAGAGCGAGAAATTTTTCATAAATTATTATCAAAAACGCTAATTTCCATCGGTATTCAGAATTCAACTTGTGTGTGGGATAGGATCGAAATCCCAGACTATAAGAAAACGTCCACAGAATAGACTACTCCCCATAGTACATCAAACAGTTTTTAACTGATTTTGACATTAATTAATTAAATAAATATTTAATGTATTAAACTTTATCTAATCTATTTATTAATTTACTCGTTTGCAGACTTGCATTAAAATATTTGCTTTTCCCCTGCACCCGTCGAGAGGCTCCTGTAGTTTAGCAATATTCGTTCCGGCCGCGATGTAGTGCCGACGTCTATCTGTCAATAGGCGTGTTTCGAAGCTCCGTTACAGGATTTACTGTTTCACTCATTGCACTCTCTGATTCCAGCAACGAGGCAGTCAGTTGGCAACGCCGGTGGTAGAGGCGGCGCGGTTGTCGAACCTTAATACTACTCTAGGTTGCTCTAACGAGTTTTCTATAAAATTTTATCACCATCGGAACCAGATTTAGTTACTTCGTGGTTCGTAAAATCGTGACTTTGAGTCTTCAAATTTATGTAATGAAGCCGTTTTGAGCCTCTCAACCGGGGAGGGCTCGCGACGAATTTCCGGAAAGGAATTCAATCCATTGGGTCTGGGACCCAGGGACTTCTTTTGGCTTCTGTAGCAATCAATTCTATAGTTTTTAAATCAATATATATCATTCACATTTTAATTACAATATATTTATTACATATAAACATGAAGAAAATGTATATGAATCTAAGGTAATTACATTACACCTGCCAGTGTATCAAATTAATACTGAAGTTTAGCACTTCAGTAAATCAGTGTAAAAATGCAAATCAAGTTTTTAACGCTACCACTTTCTAATGGAAAATATTATTTAACTATTGATAAAAGGAAAAACAAAGGATATTTTCATAATATTTATTACGGAGTCATCATTTATCTTCGATCGGGCATTATTGAAAGAACAGATACGTGCTTTAGGGAAGAAATAAAAGCAAAAATCTTGCACTCCGAGCATATTTGAACTTGATTTTTTCTATCGTTTCCTTCAAATTCAATGGCGGTTAGAGACTGGTACGAAAAATTTAGAATCAGTAAATGTTGACCCTTTGTCTAAAACACTTCTAGGAATGTTGCTTGAAACTGCACAAGCAGAGAGCGCATCCCTGCTAAATTCATGGTTCATTCTTGAAATATAGAGGCAGTTAAACTTTAGTTATTGATACAATAAGAAAATACAAAAGAAAAAAAGCCAGTCCAGTGTCATTTGTCACAATGTAGTTGAAGTCTCGTATTTCTAGCGCAACGGAAGGCATTTCAATTACGTCGACTTCCGTCCTCTTCGCTTCTACCTTTGTATTGCTCAGTATCGGTCTCACCTTTCTTTTCCAATTCACATTCATCATCATCATCATCATCAACAATGGATTTATTATATTTTTATACCTCCTCCTTTTGAACTAGGCCTCTACTTTTGAGCTAGGCTCTTGTTGAGGCGGCAAAATATTGCTTAGAAGATTGGGAGAGCAATTGCAGGAACTGAGAAGTTTTATGCATCGCCTTCTGTTTTCTCATCAAACGAGAAAATTCTGAAAAAGCGACACATAATTGCTAAAGATTATTACTATACCGTAAGAATAAAAAAGTATTGAAGATATTGTCATAGTAATCTCTGTCTGGACTAAAATAAACGTTATCCTTACAAATATCATGCTTTCTGATTGTGCACACTTGCTTTCTGACCACGTTTTGGAGTCTGAAGTGATGCAGATTGCATTAATTGCTTCCTGCCAACATACCACCAACTTTCAATGCGCATAACATGCGTATTACTTAGCTTCTCTACATCATTGCTACTACACTGCTCGCGGCTCCAGATTCTCAAACAATGCGAGCTCGTCTCTTCTGATGTGGAAAAAATTAGATCCCTGGAAATCGGATAGAGTAAATCTTTCGTCGCGGCCGCCGAGGACGTGATACAACCTATTGGTCACTTTTAGAAGCAGTTGAAGCTCCAATGCAAAGAACTTCATAAAAAGTTGCTTTTTTTGTCAATTGTGAGAGGGTTTTTAGTCAAATTAAAACGTTCGCGGGAAGTTTGAGTTGTATAGTTGTATGCTCTTTCTACTTAAATGCCTTCAAAGAGAAGCGAAGTTAGGAAGTTCGAAACGTGGCGCCAAATTTGAATTACTCTGTCCGCCCATGTGCGATAGCTCTTGTAACTTATTAACTAATGATCTGGTCTTTCAAGTCTGCCTGTCATTGGACTTGCGCTGACTCTTGCTGAGACTCTTGCTCATTTACTCTTGCCTACACACGTACAAGTAGCTTGTTTTCTGCGCACACGCACTGATTTTAGCGCGTGCAATTCACCAGCACACATCACAATTGGGAAGGGCTCACGCATTGTGGTGGGTGGCGCATTTCTGATCGTCGGTGCACCTCAGGATGAGCCCTTGTTCACGGCGCCAGTGCATGTGTGTCTGTATGTGTGAGTGTGTGTGAGGGAGCGGGCGCTCCCCGCCAGACCTAGTGGGGGCGCGGGCCCGGAATTCGTACCGTAGAAGGTTCTCTTCGCCGATTTGACAATAGTAACACGCAGCACTGCCTGAAATGGTCTCGACGACAACGCGTTCTCGTAATGGTAGCCATACACATCACGATATACTTGCGCAAGTTTAGACTTGTACAAGTGTCTCGTAACATGTGTTGGAAGATTTTCGCACTAATTTATAGACTTGTACAAATTTAAAGATCATTGCAAAACTTGTGCAATGCTGCGTTTGCGCACGTTTACTTGAACGTCTGTGGCAGCACACGTCACGTTTCACTAGTAGATAAGCTTTTTTGATAAGTACGTACATCTTGCAGTCGGATTACGTGCCAAAAATGGCGACTTGTGATGAGATGCATGGAGTTCGAGAGGTTTTGGAGGAATTCATTAATATAATTCATAATATATTTCATAATATATTCATAATATATAATTCATTCATAGGTAGTTATGCCAGTCTTTGGGTGCAAATTTTAATTCAGTTAATAAATTGATGTGCGAATACTGCTCTCCTTTTCGTAACCAGTCTTTACACCATATAGAACGATTTATTTCAAGTCTTTTCAACTTTTTTGTAGCAGATATTAATCCAACTATGGCCAAAGCGTCATCCATCTCTGCACAATACACCTGGACGCTCACTACAGAAATGGTACCGTTTAAGCATACTTGAGCCATCTATCATCACTTGGAAAATACGTATATGTAACGTGAATGGTTACCATAATTCATTATCTTGTCGCCAGAGGCGAACTTCTTTAGGGTATTATGAAAACAACGCGTTGCTTACCATACATTCAACCAAATATATTTAGGTGCCAAATGATTGTTCAACTTCGAATTTACCTGTCCACACATAATGTGATGGAGAATGATTCTCTATATCACTAGAAAAGTAATTTGAAGTAGAAAATAAAGCCTCCAAAATTTCTACGTGGGGAATTTCTACGTGGGAAACGTTATCTAAGTACCAGAAAAAATAAACTGTTTAAATTAACTGTAGAATTTCTGTATTACAAAAAAAAAAAAAAAAGAGTTTTTGGACCATGTTAAGCGCAAAATCAAGTTAGAATTCCAATATCGGATACACGTTATTAACTTCTATAAAATATGGTTGCGTAATTTCGTTGTCCACACTTTGTAAATTGTTCAATGTATGGGACATTAGAAAAATGTACGATAATACCGCTCTTCTTTATTTTCTTTTCTTTTTTTCCCCCCAGAAAGACTTCCCGAGCTTTTCTTCGAACTATACAACTCATGTTCGACAAATCTTGTCCTATTAACCACATCCGAATAGCAACGTGATTCCATGCCCTAGAAAATTTTAAAATGAAATATTCAGATTTTTTCGATTTGCTTTCGCAGATATTTTAGGTTAATCTCACCAAAAACTTTCACATAAACCACTCAAACTAGTTTCGCCAACAGGAAAGCGAGCATATGTTCCTGAAAACCTTAAAAAATCATATATTTGACAAGCTAATACACGAAATAGATTTTTAAGTAGCACCTTTGAACGTTTGTGAAATGAAACTGATTTTGTTGCGTTTGAGCCCTGTTAAAACCCAGATTTCTGGCTGAAAATTAACTAACATTTTTTAATATCAAGTGCTTAGAAAGGTGTTCTCACCCATTCTAGGTCTTGCAATTTTTAATCTATCAAATTGTGTGTCCTTAACTGTACATATTTCTTACATTATTTCAAAATTTTGCAATTTTCGACATTTCAGAGTTCAACAACAGTGCATTGCCTATATTTTACGCAAAATTACGCCTTACATAAAGATGTTTCTCTGAACAAAGGATTTCATTAAGGAAAAAAACATCAATACTATAGTACCTTCATTGTTGCAAACGTCGAAAAAAGTTGAACTTTTGCAATATTCGAAAATTTAGAAATTTCAACGAAAATGATTGCAATGGAAATGAGACCTACGCCCTCTTCTTTACTTATGTTTCTAAGTTCTAGGTCTTTACGAGGACTAGTTATGAAACAAATTATATGTATTCTTTTACCTCTAATCCCTCTTAGAAATATTACCAATTATTTCTTCTTGACCTTGATTATTTCTTCGTGAACCTTACGAGCGTTTCTGTTTAAACATCGCCCCTTGTCTACTGAAAAATACAACTATACTTAAACTTAAAAGCATGCACTTTGAAATTATATAAATAATTTTAATATGATATAGATTTAGATATGATACAGTTTTTGATACGACACAGATTCCCTTGGCAACATGGCACCATAGGTGACTCCCATGGCCAGTGATCTGCCCTTTACAATTAAAAACAAAACCAAATAAAACAAAAACGACGAGACTCCGTCTCTCCCCTTTGAAACCTGGAGTTTGTTTCTTTCCTACCTAATCCTCCCATTTGTGGGCAGGAACTAACACAGCCGCCGTTCTCTTTTCCCACAGGCACTGAATCCAGCCCGTCCACGGCCACGGCCGTCCCCGGCCGCCATGAGGACGGCGAGGGAGGCAAGGACCGAAGGGCCACCACCTCCTCTGTCCTCCTGCACGTCAGCCGTCGCTGGTTGCTCCCTTGAAGCTGTTAGTAGATTTATTTAGGTCTTTGTCTATCTATCTATCTATCTATCTATCAATATATCTATCTACCTACCTATCTATCTACCTACCTATCTATCTACCTACCTATCTATCTACCTATCTATCTGCCTATCTGTCTATCTATCTAGTTAGCTAGCTATTCATCTGTCTATCTATTGATTTATTGAATTCTTTAATATTGATTTATGTTCGGGACTCGTCGACAGCTGAGGTCTTTGAGGCCCGTGAGTGATCTAATAAGAGACGATAGTAATTAAAACACTAAGGTGAGTGACAGGAAAAATGGAGGGAGAGGGATATGAGACGGGGGAGCTCTGAGAAATTCAGTAAAGAGTTAGCTTTGTTTACCAAACAATCACATGATTGCCGGAGGAGGGGGGGCTCAAATCCACGGGCCAGTGGTGAAATTTGAGGTGTGAACATATATTTGGTCACAGTATATGGTCTTTTCTGACAGTTCTCTCTGTCACATTTTGAAATGTTCATACTAAATAATAATAAGTTGTATTTTATTTTTTTTTACTAAATGTACAGTTCAGTTTTATCTACACATTTATGTATTACGTATTTAGGCGACAGAGCGGGGCTGATGGCCCGAGTATCACCACATAAATGAAGTCACTATTATTATTATTATTATTATTATTATTATTATTATTATTATTATTATTATTATTATTATTAAAGTCGGCCCCGTGGCGCAGACGTTTGAGGTAGCAGCCGTCGTCTGCGCCGAGGAGGTTGCAGGTTCCAGGCCTGCGTAGACATGGTCGTATTTGTGATTGTCCCTTCACCCTTATTTTATAATCCACACGTCAAAACGTAACAGCCGTGTCATACTGAGGGATACAACTGAATAGTGTATCCTGGAAAAATTACACATGTTAACATGTTAATCGTGTAGCGTGGTCGGTAATGGCCTGTACGCTAATAGAAATAATAATAATAATAATAATAATAATAATAATAATAATAATAATAATAATAATAATAATAACAATAACAAAAAATAGTATTACAAAAATATATTAATGCCTATTATTTTTTTGTTTCTAGTGATGCTGTTGTAGATAAAACCAAAACCAAGAGCTCCAGTATTTTCAAAAGGCAACTACTGAGAAGTGCCGTATTCGAGGGTCATATCAAGTCATAACTGTGCTGTATCTTCCAAGATATCAAACTTATTTATTAAACTTTATTTTAGTTAATACTCCGGAAAACTATTTTCAAGTGTATTCAAGTCCAATGTAACCACTGAGTCGCGTTTGTGTGCATCATGTACAGCAAACATCAAGCTACTTATAAACGCTGTTGTCCAAGACAGATGTAAGTAAATTTTAATTGCGGTCATATGGAAAGTTTTCACGTGAACATGAACAGCACACATAAACGTTACAAGCTACTTCTAAACGCTGTTGTCCAAGAATGAAGTAAGTAAATTAAAATAGCAGTAATATGGAAAATTTTCACGTTCTGAGTATCACAAATCATCGACATTTTTATAGGATGCTACAAACATTGACAGATGGCGCTTTCCCTTACTGTAGTGTTTCACGTATGGTTAATGCATTTAGGCCACAATTGCTGTCATGCCGTGCTGTAGACTCTTTCAACTCCATAAACAGGATTTATATTCCTGTCATTGTATCGTCTGATGTAGGACAGTTTCCGTGACACGTGAATTGTTATTTTCGTACATAATGTGTTTGTAAAAATATGCATTTGTTGAATAATAATCCTGTAAAAAAGAAAAATGAATAAAAACTTCTTGTCAAAAACAGTCGGTTTTCTGACCACATTTTCTCAACATACTTACCCTATTTTATCTTACTCTTTAAAACGCTTTGTTCGTGGCATTTTTCAAAACCCATATGCGTGCTAGGATGGAAATAAAAACAAACCTATTTTCACGCAATACTTGCAAGTTTTGCAATGTTCAAAATCATATCACCGCTATTTTTACGGCATTGCTCTATTCGAAGAAAAGTATTGAAAAAGATTGACGCCAATTTGGAGATTAAAAAAATTAATTGCCTTTACTTGAAGCAAAGATTACGCGTAAATATACTTTTTGTTTCAAAAACGATCTCTTCTTATCCATACTGTAGTTTTTCCATGTTACTTTTTTGCAATAGTATGAAATACAGGCAGTTCACCGAAAATGAGACGTGCAAAATTTTTACAAACACGCTTTATACTCGAATATGCGAAAAAGAAAAAAACAAACAAAAATACGAAGTTATTTATGAGAAAACATTTTTTATTTTAATATGGAAGGCACATTTATACCATAACTACCTATATTTTTGAAAAATGCATGAGAGTTTCATGTATAATTTTAGCTATGAAAAATATATATCTTCGATATTATAGTTGTAAGAAAATGTCGAAAAAATATTCAATTTAGCATTTTTATGAAATTCACAGAGTTCAACAAAAATTAGATCTGTGCCATTTTTAAGAGTTTTTTGTTTTAGTTTACTCTATTTTTGCTCTAAAAATTAATTCAAATATTGACCCCAAAACTCTTCCTTTGGAATCTCTAATTCGATTTTCCGCAGCATTACATACTCCACTGTGTTCTACGTATATTTCTCCGTAATACGTACCCATACGAGGAGGTGAAAAAATTCTTTAGTAATCCATCCTTTACCCCCATGTCGCGGACCAGAAGATCGCGGGTTCGAATCCCGCCTTGGGCATGGGTGTATTTGTGCTTGTATATGTGTGTCGTCCTCTCATTCCTCATAATCTTTATTATTTCATCTTCCATACCCCCGGGGCATAAAAATGAATTCAGCAGATATTCTGATCCCACCAAATAATGCTTCACGTGCATATCCTCGGGTAAAAATATTACTGGGCCTTGGTGGGTAGAACTGCACGCTCGCGTGGTCTATAAAAAGCACAATACAATAATTTGTAACGATAATAATAATAATAATAATAATAATAATAATAATAATAATAATAATAATAATAATAATAATAAAACACCAACTCGGGAGAACATGACCTTGACGTTGGCGGTAGAGTACCCCAATGACCATGCGAGCTATACCGGCGGTAACCTAACTACTTCCCTTGCCGGACTGGTCGAGGGGGAGGGGCTAGATTAAGAAGTAGGACCAGATAAAGAAGGAGAAGTAGGATTAGAGGAGCTCAACAGCACCAGAAGAGGACACACAGAAAATTTAGTCCACAGAAGATGTGAAGTTTGCCTCAAAGTGACCCTCCTGTCGAAATGGAGAGATCATTGAGAATTTGCGTCGGATCAGATCCGCTGCCTGGGGAGCGCCAGGACACCGATGGAACTAGCGCTGTCTGTGACAGCATGCGGAACGCTAGTGGTGAGATGTTGAACAAGCGGGCTCAAATCGGGATACACGAAATTACTACAGCCGATGGGAGCAGTACGCTAGATCTGTTAACTGCCCCTGAGCACAGTGTTTCTCAGAGTTCACTTGGAACCATTGGGGGCCTGCTGCGATGGAGAGTTCAATGGACTAATGATATGAACGAAAAAATCATCAGTTTGTACTTTCGCATTGCCCGTTGCGATAAAATCCGGATAAGGATAAGGCAGGAATTGCATTGATGTTTCATTCAACAGTACCCACATTTATCCCACCTCACTGAGCAGAATATCGCAGATCGAAGAGCGCTGATAAGTAAATGTGACAAATATGTCTCGCTGTCCTGCAGACAAAATGAGATGAAAGCAGAAGTAAAAGTACTGTTAAAAACACAAGGGAACATGTAATCTGCAAAAACTCCCATACCACAAATTCATATCCCACCACAAAGCTCGCAAGATACTCTGTTCATTGGGCTTCCAGAACAAGATATACCAAGAGATCACCTACATGAAGAGCTTGAATCACAATATCGACTGGCAATTATCGAATACGAGACGATGGACCCTCATCTAAGATCGAGAATCCCAAACCAGCACAGTTCAAAGAAACTGGCCATGCTAGAGAAAGCAGCAAATGAAAATAAATATTAATAAGACCTCAAATATCATGACCTATGAGCATCGCGCTGTACAATCTATTGTATGGCACTTAAAATAGTGAGTATGAATGGCAGGAAAATATCAAATCCAATCAACTCGGTGTTTCCAGCACTAGCAAAAAGAACCCCCATGGAAAATCCGGTTGTGAAAACGGCTAGAACGTTTTAGATAAGATATTGCTACATTGGAAGCTTTCTAGAAAGGAGATAGAAGTAAATATGTGACAAATAAAATAGCATATATTTAGAGAAAAATCGAATCCACACACACCACAATATCGACAATACAAGTCTTCTTGATTTGATCGATACCCTAAAACAGCAACTGAGTCAACATATAAGAGATATACAAATCCATTTACCAATCAAAATTACACATTATAAAAACTCCTAAACAACTGATAATATACATTATACCCCGAGGTGAAAATTTGGGAAAGTAGATATTGACAATCATAAAAGTATAATAACAACAAAAATTAATGAGATCTTAATGAACAACCACAATTACACCTTTAATGCTATTGAAAAAATTGAGGATTTTTTACATTACATTACAGGAATTACAGGGAAACAAAGAAGAAAACCACTTCCATGGTGGAAGGAATAACGTGCAATTGTTCACAAAAAATATAGACAAGCATTCTCAAAATAAAAAAGACATCAAACTATTGATAACCATATTGAATATAAAAAATCAAGAGCATATGCAAAAAGAAAGAAAATAAAAGAAATGCATAGATACAATTCATCTCCTCAAAGAATCATCTCTCCAACATGTGTGAAAACTGGAAAGAAATTAAATCAATAAATGGTACTTACAAGCCCCCAACTAATGGTATAATAATATTTCATAATGACAAACTAGTAACATCCTACAAACAAATAGCCAACTTCTTAATAAATCAATTTGTCAATAATTCAAGTGTTAAAAACGTCAGTGATAATTCCAAACATACAAGGCAAATTCTGAAATTGAAATTAAAAATATACTACAAGAAAATACACATAATAATACAATAATAAATGCTTCTTTCTAAGTACATGAAATCAAGAACATGCTAATCTGTACTAAGAATTCCAGCCCAGGACCTGAATGAACACAAGAAGTTTCTAAAAGAACTCCCTCCAATGGCTATTCAATATGTAAAACATTTATTCAATGAACTTTTGACTCAAGGAATGTTTCCTGATAAGTGGAAAGAATCAGTTGTTTTTCTTGTCCCCAAGCCAGAGAAAGATCACACCAACCCACAAAACTTCAGATGCATATCCTTAACATCTACCCTTTGCAAATTAAAGGAAAAGGCAATAAGCAAAAGATTAATTTGGTACCTTGAGAAGGAAAAATTATAACTGTATCAAAGTGGATTCAAGCATAATCACTCAACTACTGACCACTTAGTGAACATTCACAGCGATATATGTGATGCATTCCTCTCAAAACACATTGCTGTTGTAAGTGTGGATATTGAGAAGGCTTATGGCATGTTATGGAAAGACAATTATCAACATCTTACTCAAATTAGGAATAGGTGGTCACACATTTATCATTATTTCCAACTTTATGGAAGATTAAAGTTAAATTAAATGGTGTTTTTTCTGACAGATATAAAACATGCAATGGCTTCCCTCAAGGATCTGTACTTAGTGTTTTTCTCTTCTTTGTTAAAATAAATGAAATTAAAAATCTAATTCCTCGACCTATAAAGATATATTTGTTTGCTGATGACACCACAATATTAATAAGTGGAAAAACATCAATTCTTCTCAAAAAATGTTACATAATAGTCTTAATGCTACAAATAATTCTACATTATAGTTTAAATAATATTTAAGAATAGGCTGATAAATCTTGTTTTAAGTTCTTCAAAACAAAGAATCAATGTATACTCTAAAAAAGAGAGACACCCAATAAGCAACTTAAATTGACATTAGTATCACAAATAATTCAAACCTCAAATCAAATAAATATTTTGGGAATTAATTTTGATAGTAAAGTAACATGGAAACCACACATACAAAAATTAAAAATGGAATGTTTTCACTGACTAAATACAATAAAGTGTATTGCAGACTCTAATTGGATAGCCGACAAAAATATAATACTGTCTTCCTACAATGCTCTTATAAGGTCCAAGCTTGACTAAGGCTCTGTAATATATCAATCTGCTAATCCACCAATTTTAAATACTGAATGGGATTCAATTGACTTGCTTAAGACCGGCAATTGGAGCTAATAGGACCTGTCCAATCTCAAGTATTCTTGCGGAAGCTAACCAAGAACCACTGTACATCAGAAGAGGAAA